ATATGCATTCATTCTACCTCTGTTTTACTCGCTTTCGTAAGTGTCTTTCTCACTTTTCCGTCTCTCTATTTCCGTCTATGTGCGTGTGTCTCTTTCCGTTTGTGTGCGTGTGTCTCTTTGCGTCTCTGCGTGCACGTGTGTCTCTTTCCGTCTCTGTATACGAATTTTCAGAGGTATTGTCTCTGTGACTTCATTGGTACGAAACCTCTGATTGACCCTTTTAAGTTTAAAGTCACCTACATAGAAAGTGCTAAAGGTTAAAAGTTTTAACCTTTAGCACTCTGTATGTAGGTGACTTCATTTGTCAAACAAAATGTTTGTATTGCCACTGCGTACAAACACTGATCAATAGTGTGGTTGAATTTTGCATTAGTGTTGTCATATCCTACTATGGCAACAGGAAAATGACTAACTGAAAATCAAAAATGATGCTACTGCTGTTGTTTGGTCAATTATAACCAACGGATGAGGATGAAATACTTACAAATATTGCAGACTGCTAAAGGTTAATGAAAATAAGAGGACACAAATTGCATTTGTCGATATTTCTGAAATAAGGTATTGTAACTATTTACATTTTTAGGAGAGTCGTCCTTATATTTCTTTTAATTATTTTTCCATTTAACATGATAACCTACAATGTAATGAAAATTAATTTTGGTATTTTTGAATAACTACAAGAAAAATTTTCTTTATTCCTAAATTATATCCAAATAGTAAAGTATAGATTATGGAAAAATAAGGGAACCCGTTGCTATTAAGACCTGTTGTTGAGCGAACCGTTTTTCTTAAAATCTTTGAATCCCGCCACTGCATGTAAACCAGAACTACTTGCTGCCTGGCCAAATCATCAACGATTCATCCGTTTCCCCCCGCCATGCTTTTCTGGCAAGGAAGGTGACTTTGTACACAGCAGGATTACAAACAAGGCCTGTCAAAGGGCAGATTAACCTTCTTATAAGGTTAACGGCCATCTAACCCAGCGGAGTAGACCGGACACCATGGCTGTGCATGCAGATAGTGATGGAGACGATACGGTATACCTGAGTGGAGGTTTTTCTAGACTGAAATCAACGGCTATGCTGCTGGTGATTTCCTCCGATAGAATTAACGAGCACATGTCCATGACCAAAGCGAACCCTCAAGTTGGAGGACAACGGGTGTTTTTTTTTTATATATGGAGAAGGATTGGCTGCGCCTGGTCTAAGAGAGGTTTCGCATTAATGAATAGTCTCTAGATTTCAACCCAGATATTTGAAGGGAAATTGTTGATAATGATTATATATATATATATATATATATATATATATATATATATATATATACACCCAAGTATATTATTGGTGTATATGGAATGAATTCCAATAACCAACAATTACTATTCTTAAAAGTTCTCAATACAAAGTAGAGCAGATATAACTATTTATGTAAAAAATTTATAACATAAACATGTTATAAAATCACTACAAAAATAGCCATTTTGTTTCAACACTCCCGGTGTCTTATAAATTGAATAACATATGTATTTCTCCTTTTCTCCTCGGTAATTTTATAATTTTAAACATAATAGTGATCAATTTTGGATTTTAAAATTGGCAGTTTTTAATTTTAATATCAAATTTTATCATATAATTTAATAATTATTGGTTAGAATAAATTCTTTTTTAATATTACCCGTATTTTAAAGATCTGAATAGCTTCGTTATCAAGCTTTTTGAATTTTCCTTTACTTGTATTTTGATTGGTTATTCTAGCTTTTGTAACAACGTTTTCCCCTTGCGAAGGATCGTTAATTAATTTGAAACTTTTAAAACCATTTATTTTGTATTCACCATCATCACTTGATAAGACACCAGGAGAGTTGATACAAAATGGCTATTTTGTAGTGATTTTATAACATGTTTATGTTATAAATTTTTAAATAAATAATTATATATATATATATATATATATATATATATATATATATATATATATTATTAATAATAATAATAATCGGTTGGAAAAAAACTGGGATAGCACAACTTGTAGATACCCGAGAAAATAATTGAAAAAATAGAGAAAGAATCAAAAACATCAGAACAGGAAGAAACAAATCCTCCGGTACCTAAAGTCTTTAGTCCAAAGAAAAAAAAAACCCAAGCGAGTAGTAAAACTAAGACGTAGAGTGCTCAATGCGCTAAGTAGAGCGTTGAACAAGTTTAAAAATGCGGGAAAACTGAATCAGGACGCCACAACCGGATCAAAGATTATCATTTCAACTCAGAGTTATATAGAGATCAATTAGAAAAGATCCAATTCAATCCATAAGACGTTTGGCATGTGAGAGAGGATTTCCAGCTATGGTAGTTTTTTTTGCTTCTTTTTTTTTTTTTTTTGTCTTCTGTCACGTGATTTTGAGCTCATTTGGTTTTATCAATAAATACTCTTTCGTCATTTGCTTTTTTATCCAGCTTACCCTGAAGATCCGTTTAGATGAAACATAGATAGGTTACTCTGGCTCTTTAGGATTTATATATATATATATATATATATATATATATATATATATATATACCGGGTCTAACAACAAAACTGTCCAATTGTTAGATTAAGTTTTGGAGCGTTATATCTTAGAAATGATTAAAGATATCTTACAGGAATTCTCCGGGATTTTTTTTATAACATTACTGGACTCTACTTTGAGCAGTAAGAAAGTGTAATTCCTCTCCAAGCTTAACAGAAGAATCGTAATGAAATCGATCATAAACGAAAATGACATGTTCATTATTAATTAATCATTAAAGATCAGAAACTCATGAAGGATTGAAATAAAGTTCATATATATATATATATATATATATATATATAAGATGATATATATATATATATATTTATTCCAGGATCATATTTCATTTTAAAGTCTTTTTATTCAAGATGATGTTCTCCCCCTCTAAACGTCTTATGGATTTTGGATCTTTTCTAATTGATTTAACAAGATGCCTGATGATCCTTTCCTGTTGTGACCTCCCTGATCCATTTTCTTCTCTATTGTTCCCTCATTTTAAACTTATTTTCACTGATGGTTCTTGAGTTGACTTTGGACTATCATGAATGTTCATGAAAAAATCTGAACCTTTTTCCTCTCACCGTTGCCAAATTTGAAAATGGGTTTTAAGTGAAAACCTGGAAAACTTATTTAGATTTGATGTTCAGGTTTTTGTGGGATGGATAATTATGCTTTTTTGGACAATTTTGCTGTGATATTTTTGATCTCTTTAGGCTGGAGAACGTGTTGAAATGATGATCCTGACATCCATTCCATGGCATGTGGAACTGAACCTCCCAACGAGCGAAATGATCCAGTTTTCCAACCACCTGAAGACGGCCGGAGCGTATTGTTAAATATAGCCAGTGATGAGGACATTTTTGAATAAAGTATATAGTGTAAAATACGTATTCACCGTTCAAAAAACATTTGATGGTTCTTGATTTGACTTTTAAAGCTCAATATTGGAATTTTCCACGGTAGTTCCAATATCAACCGTTTGAATTTCAGCGCCATTTCAGAAAATTTGAACGGTTAAAAATTTTTTCAAATATCCACCATTGCTGCCGGCCTTCTTCAGATTCATTTGAAAATTCAGGTCGATTGTTTGACTTTACAATCAAAAAACCGTGGAAAACAGAAACTTAATTAATTTAGTTCCCCCCAAAGTTTTTTTTTCCATATTTCATCAATTTTGACGGGATGGATAATTATGCTGTTCAAAAAACAAATCTAGTGTCGCGCTGACAAAACTAACCTGTTTATCTTGAAAAGGAACAATTTTGCTGTGATAAATTTTGTTATTTAACGCCTGAAATCAAAACTACCTCTATTAAGGCAGAGAACCATCAGAACCATTAGAATGTCTGACGGAGAGTTTCTGTGAACTGCTAACAGGAGATAACCTGATAACTGACATCCATTAGACATGGCATGTGGAACTAGAAATTTTTTCGCCGGAGTCGATCCTTCAAATCCCAACGAGCGAAATGAAGGGTTCAGATCGATATTCCAAGCACCAACTAGGCTAGCATCTCGCTCTCACTCTTTCACGTGCCGTCGAAACTGTCGAATGTATGCCGGTTCCCAGACTTCTACTTTAAGCGCTCAATAGGCTGGCATCTCGCTGTCTCGCACCTCTCGCCTGTGGAACTCCCTCCTTTTCCTGTTTCCTGGTATAGCTATAATCTCCAATTATTCAAATGTAATGTCAATCGACGTCTCCAGATGCCTTGATCTATCCCCTATCCTTCTCTTCATCCTTTCCTCTATCACTCCTATTTGGACTCACTCAAATTCTCTGTAACCCCTTGCGTGCTAGTGGCTTCCCGCTTTGCTTGGGGTGAAACGTTTAAAATATATATATATATATATATCATTAAAATGGATTTATAAATAAAATACAAAACTAGGAATGGTTGTTTGTGGTTTAGCCTGGTGACAAGTAAATTCGGAGACAAGTAAATTAGAGTTAAGTCGCTTCTCCTGGAACAAATTACCGAATTTTTCTGTTATCCCCTAATATAATAATGACTTAACAAGTAAATCGACGCCATACTGTTTACAGAAAACGAGAGAGAAAAACAAATTCATTATTTATAATAGCAAATTTATTTAGTTTGCTAACAATATTTTTCGACATCTTGTGTCTTCTTATCAGTCTGTGCATTTGCGTGTGTGTCGAGTCGACAGTATGGCGATGTTTTGGCGCATGCGTGTTCGTTAGGCTGCGTTTGGGTGCATATCTACCTTTGTATAGTTGTTGAGCAGTTCGGGGATCAAGACATGACAAAGTAAGGTACCTGGAGTGCGCAGGCTCAACGCTGACGATGGCTAAATCTGAGGTGGAGTCAAGGTCGACAGGATTACGCCATAAAGCTCACCGAGGAACGCTGTCAGATTGGCGCACCTTACACAATTAGGATTTTTTTCTTCTTCTCTTTTTATCAAATGGAATGTCTCCCTTTATCAGACTCTTCTTCTTTTTCTCTTCCTTCGACCACGTTTACGAAGCTCTTCTTTCTTTCTTTCTTTCTTTCTTTTTTTATTTATCCCCTCCTCAAATCGACTTTGTTAATCTCCCATGTATTTTTAACATCCCCGCCATTCAGTCCTTTTCTTTTTTTCTTTTTCTTTTATTTTATCTTCTTAATTCGAGATGTATTTTTGTTGGAGTGCCCTGTCAGAAATATCAGTAGTCGATTTCTCGCGACGGTTCAAAGTCACTATTTAAGTTGAAACAAGGGTTACACTTTTAACGTCAAATATTGTGTGGCGGTGTGGACCCTTGCAAGACTTGCCTCGCGCTTTGACAGAGTTAATAAGACATTCACTTACACAATAAACACACACACACACTCTCTCTCTCTCTCTCTCTCTCTCTCTCTCTCTCTCTCTCTTTCACTCACGCATGCACATTCGGCCTCTCTATATATATATGCATATATAAATATATATATATATATATATATATATATATATATATATATATATATATATATATATTTATGTTTTGCTGTTAGACCCGGTATATATATATGACATTCGTTAGAAGCAGTTAACTAAGATGCCAAACGAACATCCGTGGTTATATCGCATCAGTAAAATACAAACAAACGTTCAGGTAGAAAAATAAAACCATTTTGTTCTGTTTTATTCTTTGTAAAGAACGTGCGTTCCGGAAATATAAGTGATATTTTGTCAGAATGATTTTGTAAGAAAATAGGTTTGTATATATATATATATATATATATATATATATAAATATATATATATATATATATATATATATATATATATATATATATATATATATATATATATATATATATATGTATATAAATGAAAGAACAGTAAAATATATAATCCGGTGTTCTTATAGATATTTTTATTTTTACAAAATAGTGCTCAATGTAAATTTACAGAGCATTAATATTATAAATTAATTGATTTACAGAGCATTAATATTATAAATTAATTGATTTAAAATATGTTTTTTTTCGCTACACAGTTCTAACCATGTTTCAAAAATGGAAGCTAAAAGCCCCGGATTTAATTTTGTAAATAAATTAAAGATATTAGTTCCATTTCATCCTCAAGCGATTTTTTTATATATATATAATGATATCACCCCATGCACATTTGTCAAGCAATAATGACACAAGGAGTTAGTGAGTGTGAAAGAATAAGAAAAAAAAAAAAAGAGGAACGTTATGAAGGAGCGAGAACAACAGAAAAATAATCAAAAGACATTAGATAACGATTGACATTGCATTTAAAATTTTGAAAATCAAAGTTAGCTGGAAAGCATGGAGCCGGAACAGAGTGAGAAGTGCGAGAAAAGAAACTTCGTAGAACATACGTATAGATATAGAGATTGTGAATTGATTAAACCGTGTGTGTGTGTGTGTGTGTGTGTGTGTGTGTGTGTGTGTGTGTGTGTGTGTGTGCGTGTGTGTGTGTGTGTGTGTGTGAAGTCCTTTGATAGATGTTGCGTTGAAATGACAAACAAGAAATATTTTGTTTTTTAATTTTGTTTTTCACTGAATATTTACGTAATATCATCCCCCTCCTCTATGGCAGTGAGTGCTGGACAATCTTCCTCACAGAGGAAATAAAGACTTTGAAGCAATAAAAATATGGTTCTACAGAAGGGCTGCTGAAAAGGATACTCTTTTTTACGCACGCACACAAAATACACATACACTCACATATATATATATTCAGATATATATTGTTAAATATAACAGACAACGAATGGCTGTTATGTTTGATCATGAGCCGTTCTAAGCTTCGTATACTGGCTTTAGTTTCGGAAGAAAATAAAGAAAAAACTGTCAAACATTTGGGTACTTTTTTATTCTGCTGTTCCTCGATATAAGCATATAAATATTTATTTTTGTTTCTGAAGAAATAAATTATAGTCATGGAACCATAAGGTTGTCTCTTTTTAATTTAATACATATATATATATGTGTGTGTGTGTGTGTGTGTGTGTGTGTGTGTGTGTGTGTGTGTGTGTGTGTGTGTGTGTGTGTGTAATTAAAATGGAGAACCTCATCACTTAACTGAGTGGTGTTATTTCAGTCTTGCCGACTTCGAAGTTTCATGAGCCCATTGCAGTAAACCCCTCACACTTCAGACCTGTTGCCTGACAAAAAACCTGCCTAAAATGTCTTTCCACCAATAAGCTATGGGAAAAGTACCAGCATGTTTGACACATAACACTCTTAAAATTTAATATAATATATATATATATATATATATATATATATATATATATATATATATATATATATATATATGAGTGGTCAGCTATTACATATATATATATATATATATATTACAATAAACGTGCAATCAATTTACAAATACATGAATTATTCACACAAAACTAATGCAAAGGTTAATGATTTAAATGGCGAGACATCCATCATCGCAAACAAATCAAATAGTACACAAAAACCTCCAGATCCGGTATGAATGAATTGATCCTTGTTTATATAAATTTCTGCCGTATTAGTTGTTATTTTTACTACAAGCTTTCGTCTGTTCCTACAGACATCTTCAGGTATATAATAGATGTTGTTCTTGTTTTTTTTCTCTTAGTCATAAGATAATAATAATGGAGGTTTTTGTGTACTATTTGAATTGTTTGCGATGATGGATGTCTCGCCATTTAAATCATTAACCTTTGCATTAGTTTTGTGTGAATAATTCATGTATATAAGTTATGAAGAACTTGGTAAACCGAATTGGTAAGTCCAAGGAGGATGAAATCCTGAGAGCTCAATGTGAAGAACAGAGCTAATATTTAATGAAAAACAGACCACTTTAAGGTACCATTACAATAATTTATTTCACCAAAATCCTTTTTAAAGGATTTCGGATCATCAGGTAACACTTCCAACAATGAAATGAGAGGAAAATGTGATTAGAAATTGATGGGTAGTGTAATTTTTGTAATTAAACAGGGAGGGTGAAGGTGGCGGTTAAAGAGACAATACAAAATATAGGGAGGGTTAAATTTACATCTCTCTTAAATAAGCTTTATATTGGAGTAGGAGGATTGATATAATATATATATATATATATATATATATATATATATATATATATATATATATATATATATATAATAGCTAGCCACTCGTATTCGAAAATACCCATCTACAAGGGCGGCTAGCCAATCCCTATTGTAGACTCTCGCTCAGGCATATTTTTCTTTTTGTTCAACACCCACAGAGCAAACCTGTGGTTTATACTGCAACTATGCCGAGCAGACCTTACAGTTTCTGGAAGAGAGCGAGCGTGTTATCTAGCATGATCAACAATCTGAACAACACCAGCACACTCAAACCCTCGGTCACGATGACTTGTGACTTCGTGCTAGCACAGCTATCGAAGGTACCAACTGTTCCGTGTCTCATGGTCAGAAAACGAAAGTTCTAACCACTCAGCCACGCGTCCATATATGTATGTGTGTATGTATGTATATGAGTATGTACTTACACGTATGTGCATATTTATCTGGCTATATAGTCTCCTTGTGTATTTGTGTGTGTATGTGTGCGTGTGTGTGTGTGTATGTTTGTGTGTGTTATTTTTTGTTTGCTTGTGTGTGTGCGTTTGTTTGTGTGTGTATTTGAGCGTGTATCTGTGTTTGTTTGTATGTGTGTGTGTGTGTAAAAATTGAGATAAAAATCTGCAAAGTAAACATTAATAAACAAAAAATGACACGAAGCAAATTTATTTTTGCAACGTGTTTCTCTCCTTGAGACACTGCATCAAAGGCATATATATATATGTGTGTGTGTGTGTGTGTGTGTGTGTGTGTGTGTGTGTGTGTGTGTGTATGTTTGTATGTATATATATATATATATATATATATATATATATATATATATATATGGGGAGGCTTATCAAGTTGCGATTGGTGTAATGGATAATGGCTCGGAATAGTCAAATGAAGATCCCATTTCTAATTCCCGTTAGGTTCGATATATCCACGTACATTCAAATGCGCTTGAAGAAAGGTATGAATTCAGCTTTGCTCCTCCAACTATGGGTTAATTAGAAGACTTTTTATCATTGTCATTATTATCTAACCCACAAAATATATTCTGGCTTTAAATAACCTGCAAGGAGATGATAAGCCGTAGAAATCAACAATAATATATATATATATATATATATATATATATATGAAATGGACGAGGTCCGAATTATTTATTATTTTTATTTATGCTTATTATAATGTATATATATATAGGTCCGAATTTTAAGAAATAATAGTTTTAAAAATTTCTCGGTGTTCAGGCCTGAATGTAAATGTTATTTAATACTGTTTATAAAGAGCATTTGCTTAAATACATCATAAAATAACAACGTTAAATATAAATAAAAATGTAAATATATATATATATATATATGAAGAAATATAGTTTTAAGGTGTGTTATATTTATGGGATAAAGTGCTCAACATCAGAGATAGAGCGTATGTAAATATAAATATAAAAGTGAACATTGAAGCTGAGGCGAAAGGCTGCTTCATGCTGGACGAAATCGTCAGGCCGCCTCATATATATATATATATATATATATATATATATATATAGAGAGAGAGAGAGAGAGAGAGAGACATACAGCTCATCAGTGTTGTTAGACATTTGATTGCTTCAAGCAATCAAATTGATCGAAACCCGGCCGATTTGGTATCAATCAGATATTCTACCCCTAAGCTATCAGCGCACGGCATTGAAAGAGGAAATTTTTATACGGATATACACAAACGCCAGCATATATATATTGATTTTCTGCGATTTGAAGAAAAGTTCAAAGTACCTCTTTTGCAACCGACTTAAGTTTCACGTCAGCACAAAGCGTTAATAAAATAATTGAATGAAAATAAATAAATAAATAAATATTAATCTGTAATTTTGTATATTACAAACATTTAAGTAAGGCTAATATTCTAAATTATGACCATTGGTAAAAATATGAAAATATAAAATCCACCACTTTAAATTTAGCGTGTTATAACGATTTTATGCAATTAAATATTGCCATCTTTCAGCA